GGACACTACCCAGAGAAGCAGTGACCACAGAGATGGAGGCAAAGAAGACGTCATGGAGAGATGGAGTGGCTGGGGTCTCTAGATCCAGAAGAGGGGCTGTGTGTTGACGACCAGGGGGCAGGCTTGGTTGGTTGATGATGCATGGAGGGGATTGTAGCCGTAGCAATGAAACAATATATGATAGGGTGAATGTAAAGCTAATATTCTCCCATGTAAACTATTACAGAATTCACAATTAAACATTTAAAAAAAGAGAGAGAGAGAGACATAGTGGCCAGGAGGAAGACTTGCAGAATGTGCCCTTTGGTGGTATAAATTATTATATATGCCTGAGTGTTTTAAAGAAAAAAGAGCTAAAGTCAATAGAGAGAATAACTGATGGGCCATGGAGGGGATTTTAATCATTGTGATGAAACAAGTTGTATGATTTGTTGAATGTAAAACTGATGATCTGTAAACTTTCACTCAATCCACAATAAAAACTTAAAGAAAAAAAAAATGTGTTTATTCCAGTCTATCTGCTTGGTAAAATACAGAGTCAGAAAACCCCAGCAAACTGCTCCCTGAGATGGATCGACACAACAGCCACACAACAGATGCAAACTCAATCATACCAATGATCATGAAGTTGGCACAGCACTGAGCAGCAATGTTTTATACTCTTATACATAAGATTGTTATGAGTTGGATCTGATTCTACAGCACCTAACAAAAACAAATCCTACTTCTCACTTCTTTGAAATATACCATTTACAGTGTGGTGCTCTAGGATAATCACAGGACTGTGAACCATAAGGCTGACAGTTCAAGCCTATCAGCTGTTCCTAGGAGTCAACTGATTCGATGGTACTTAACAACAACAACATTCATACTTTTTTTTTCTTTCCCTCTCTTTCTTATAATATAGTGAATTTCTATATGGCACTGGACTCCTAATTGTGTTAACTTCAAGGTTGGCAGTTTAAACACACCAACCTCTGTTGAAAACCCTATGGGTCAGAAATGACTCTGTGGCACACAACAACATACATCATTTAAATAAATAACGGATTTTAATTTTACCTACATCTTTTCTGAAACACTTGGGTGTTGCCATAGGATAAGAATTGGACTGCTAGCCCCAAGGTTGGTGGTTCAAACCCACCATCTGATCCTCGGAATCTCTATGCAGGGTCGCTATGAGTCCGATGCATTGACACTCAACAACAGCTTATCTCTTCTAATGTGAGAATTCTATGCTAGAACATTAAACATACGCACACGTAGTAAATCAGTTGCTCTTAAAAGATTTATTAAGATAAATCAGCAAAGTGCAAGCAGACCCATTTAAAAAGTCTGTGTCAGAAAAGAATGAAGATGTATGTCCTTGAAGAGCTAACCCAAATCATAAGAAGAGTGGGAGATTCAGTATTTAAGACCTGCAAAAAAATTGACAAAAATTCAGGAAAGGAATTTTAAAAGAAAACTAACTTGACTCATATGCCTACATTTAATGATTTTTGACAAATGTACATGTTTGTTAAACATTATTTTATCTTAGTTTACATTCACCATGAACCAATAAACTTTTTTATTGGTTTATAACATATATATCTGACATATGGGCACTCATTACTTAATTTTTTATAAGTAAGAGTCATGCATATATTTTTAATAGAAGAGAATCAGTTGCATACTAATGAAACAATATCTGTTTAGCATCAGTGAATTCACTTTAGAAAGTATTCTTATTTTCTCATGATTTTAAAAAGTATGTTATCAGATTCTTTCTATTTCCTTAACTCTCACTAAAAAATGCCATTTAGGATTGCTTTAAGTGTTGTACATCATTTATTTCAGCAAGAAGTGAGTTTTATTGCTCTCTGTTCAAATCCCTTGACTAGAATTGCACATTTTACATTAAAATTAATAACTGTTAGATAACTTAATGAGATGTTGATACTAGAACTCTTACTTATACTGTTTAGTTTGTAAAGTTTTCGTAAATATATTCTGCTATATGATTTCTATTTGTCAAGTGTCTGAATTTTCTAAGTCTAGTACTTGCCTTAAAATGCTCATTTTCTTCATTATCTTTTAGAGTTTTGCTTGCTGGATGAACTTCTTAGATGTTAAGACTAGCTGGCTTTGCTACTAAAGTATTCTATGTGGTATCCTTTGTTTTGCTTTCAAATCATGAACCCATCTAGATCTTCCCCCAGAAGTGTAAAGAGATCCATTTCAGTTGTAAAGGTGTCTTCCAAGTGATTTGAAGCATCTAGTATGGGGATTGGTCCATCAAGTATGGAGGTAGTTTCAGAAGATGGCTCATTGACCTTAGCTACAGATTCAGTTCTATCATCTGTATCTTTCATTGTTGTAGTAGGTGAGTCATCCACGGGGTTCATAGCTACTGATGTGGGGACAATGAAGTCGTATCTTGATTCTACAGCAGTAAGCAAAACAGAATTAGTTTCTGCTTCATTTGAACTATCTCTTTCCACCCAAATATTGATGCTATCGCTAGAATCTTCATCTGTTAGTGGAATATCATCTGGGTTATCTTTGTCTCTTTCAGCAGAGGCTGAGAGTTCAAATACAGTGATGAAGTTCTCCTCACCAGCATCAGTTAAATTAGCTGCAGCATTGGGATCCTCCTCTGAAAGAATTAGGTCAGTTTCAGTTATTTTCTCTTCTGAATGGTCAGTTATGTCTGAAATGGTGGTGTTATTTTTTTCAGTAGAGGAAGAGATTTCAACCTTAGGGAAAAATGAGTCAGTGACTCGGATACTATCAGCATTGGATTTGTCTGAGAAGCGAGGATTGGTAATATCAGGTGCATCCTTCTTACCAGAAGATGTAGCGGTGTCAGTACTGGAGATGGTACTTTTCTTAAGTGTGCCAAAGACTTTAGAAGTTATCAAGACATCTTCATCTCCTGGGAATATTGTATCCAAGAGAGTATCTTCTTCTGCTAGGTTACTTGAAAAATCTATTAAAGAAATAGTAGCAAGTGGTGATGACATATTACCAATTTTTTCTGAAAAAGAAATTTCAGTAATAGAGTCATCGGTTATGGAGTTTGTATTGCCAGTAAAAATGGAGATTTCTTTCTCTGCAGTGGTTACTGATTTCATAATGCGAGTCTCAACATCATCTTCTGATTCGAGTCTTTCCTTTGGAGGTGTAAGTTTGTTGCCTGTAGTAGATGAAAAATCACTTTCTCGTGTATAGTCATTTACTGAAGAAACATGGTCTCCTTCTGAAGTAATAGTTGTTTCTGATTTAGGAATAGTATTGTCAGCCCCAAAGAAAATTGTTGCTTCAGTTGGTGTTTTATTCTTTTCTGTTGGACGATGGGAATAAATTTTAGGAGAACCATCTTCAGCCATAGAGTAAAGGGACACCATGCACACTTACAAGGTCTTTCTCTTGGGTCCAGTGGCATCCTCAGCCAACAGGGTGGTGTTCATTACAGTGCTTGAAGCATTGGTCATCATGGCAATTGTTGCATCAACCACAGGGGCAATGACACTGGCTGTCCTTAAAGATTGTTTCATTGCTGTGGCTGGGTTCCCAGTTGCAGGAGTAATATTGATATAAGATGAAACCATATGAAACCCTTAGTGATTATGTAATCAACTTTCATAGGCAAACATGTTTTAGTTGTAGGGAACTTGAGATTAACCATGTTTTTTATTTACAAGGGACATGCTGTTCCAGATATATTTAGTGCCATTTGAAACAAACCTAGCAGAATCAGTCAGGTACTTTATGGCTTTAATATCAGTAAATAAAATTCTGGGAGACACTAGTTTATCAGCATCAGCTCCAAGTCTCCTGTCGTCCAAGTAAGTAATACTATGATTTACAAGTGAAGCATATCCCCTTGATTCCATGATATTCAAAAGTCTCAAAAAATTAATGGCTTTCATGTCCATGACTGTAGTTATAGAATGTTGCTGAAGAGCAGGGACTATTTTTTGGTACCTTCTGCACAGATGACATTCTTACTTTTTCTAAAAAGGTATTGTGAAGAATTCACTGATCCATTAGGTCTCATCCAATGTTCTTCCCCATTATAACCCTTATATTTTCTTGCATTAACTTGAATAATAGTGAGAGTACTAAGTTTGTAGGTTCAAATTATTCTGGAGGATTTCTGTGTGGAAAATAGATTTCAACTCATAAAGAAGTTTCTGGCAAGATGTTGATGCCATATGTCCTTCATGTCTGTGGTATCATTTTAGATGCTCCAAGGGAAATTCCCAGAAACAATATCAGGGTATTTAATAACTGTATCATCCATAAGAATTATGGCCTCAATTTTCAGAGGGAGTGCTTTCTATAAAGATGTTGGTTTGATCAAACATCATCATTGTGATATCATTGTGATATAAATCTTAAGGTCTAACTCAATACAGTGAAAGGAGATGTTTCCTTTATTGGCATTGTTTGGTTTCAAAAAGGACTGATTTTAAAACATTGAATCTTGACTGTAGTCTTTTCAAATCAAGCAATGCCATTGAAGGAAATATTATTTTTCAGAATCAGGTAGAACTAAATCTGAAAGAAGGGCAGCAGTAGAGATGCCATGGTAGAGATACCTATTTCAAGGTCAATTGTTTATGTTTAATTAGCTATGAGCCCAAATGAAAAGTTTACATATTTTTTGCACTGATCTCTGAAGTAGAACTATCACAATTATCTGTAGGAATATCAGAATTGTTTTTTAAGATGAACATTTCAAAATTTTGATTATATAAGAGCAGATTTTAAAAAAACGTTTTTGCTTCGAAGGGCATTACCCAAGTCTTTAATGATATAAGGCATGCTCTGAGCAAAGAAGTCTAAAGATATGATATGAAATTTCTCCAATGTCACTTCTAAGGAGCATTGTACTTCTTCCAGGACAGATCTGTTTGTTCACAAACATTAGTGGTGTATATACATATATACACATATATACATATATATTCATATGTACACAGTCTCTCTCACACACACATATAAATATATATATGTTGTTTTGTTGTTAGGTGCCATCGAGTAGGTACCAACTCATAGTGACCCTATGCACAGCAGAATGAAACACTGCTCAGTCCTGGGCCAACCTCACAATTGTTGCCGCACTTGAGCCCATTGATGCTGCCATATTGCCAATCCATCTCGCTGGGGGTCTTCCTCTTTTTCTCTGGCCCTTCACCTTACCAAACATGATATACTTCTCCTCCTGACAATATGTCTGAAGTATGAGAGACGAAGTTTGGCCACCTTGGCCTCCAAGGAGCACTCTGGCTGCACTTCTTCCAACACAGATCTGTTGGTTCTTTTGGCAGCCCAAGGTACTTGTATTATTCTCCTCCAGAATAGGTACAAAACCCACTTGCTAATTTAGCCAATTCAGTGAATGGCTTTACAGTTTGAATTTTTTTACTGTCGCTGGAGATGGCAAGGCTTTATCTCACATACTTTGGACCAGTCCTTGAAAAAAACATTATGCTTGATTAAATGGAGGGTCAGTGATAAAGGAGAACCTCTAATGAGAGATTGACACAGTGACAGCAACAGTGAACTCAAACAGCTGTGTAGATGGTGCAGGATTGGGCAGTGTTTCATTCTGTTGTGTTGCTATGAGTTGGAGCAGATTCAAAGATACTGAACAACAGTATTTGCTAACTAACAAATCTGTCTTGGAAGAAATACAGTTAGAATGTTTCTTTGAAGCAAAAATGATGAGACTTCATTTCTTATACTTTGGACTTTCTATCAGGAAGGGCCAATCTATAAGAATGACAGCTTGCTTGATAACAAAGGACCGTATAAAGAGGAAGACCCAATGATATAGCCACAGTTTGACACAGTGGATACAATAATGGGCACAACATAACAACAATTGTGAGGATGGTACTGGACTAGCTAGTATTTCATTCTGTTATGCATTGAATGAGTTGGAACCCACTAGACAGCATCTAACATAACAAAGTGTGAAGCTTAATTCAGGATACAGAATATTGTAAAAGGAGACTTGGTGTTCTTTGGGAATAGTTTCTTTATATTTAAGAGATGGGCATAGTTTAGGCAAATAACTATTGTATATCTTGGAAGAGTTGGTGTCTATTATGGTAATAAAGTTGGAAAATATCGAGAACAATATTCATTTTTAGAAGAATTTAATCCCTTTCAGGTAGAAGTATTATGTTATCTTAAACAATACTGATTGGTCACAGAGTTTTTAATTTCAGATGTTATTTCTTGGGCATAACAACTATGTTTCTACTTGTCTAGGCTGTGATGTGGAATCACATTGACTACAGCATATTAAGACTCTCCTGACAGTAATGTTATCTCCATTATCTGTGTTTTCTAAAGCATTGATGATAAAAAGTATGTTTCAGATTGAGAGTGTATGTTATCTATCATAGAGCAGGAAGCATTGGTGTGGTTTCTGGGATATTAGCTATCTTGAGGAGGGGTCTTGTGACATGTGCTCCAGGGAATGTACTGTATTCTTCTTCCATCATTATTACTGTTAAGTGCTGTCAAGTCAGTTCTGACTCATGGAAATCCTGTATAAATTTCTGAGGAGCAGCTGGTGGGTTTGAACCTTGCAGTTCATTTGAATGTTTAGCCTATAGCACCACACCAGAACTCCAAAAAATAGATTATTGTAATCAAATTTATTTGATTTAAACTGAGAGGATCAGATTCCATAGATAAAACTTATTATATTTAAATAAAATCTTCTCCCATTGTTGAAGTGTTTGTCCCACAAATGGGGATGTTTTGTCTTTTTCCAGGGAAATTTATTGACATATCTCTGAGAGTATATATAGCCTTCCTTATTTTGACAGCTGTAACAGAAGCTTGATTGACTATCAGGTATTTTTATTTGCTTTAAATTTGAGGTTTTTAGCTCAATATTTATACCTTCTTTTAAGTATCATCGTTCTCAAGTTCATGATGTAAGACTTTTTAAAAATGGAAAGTTGTTGTTAAGTGCTGCTGGGTTGGCATTGACTCATAGTGATCCTGTATAATGTTTCCAAGGAGCGGCTCGTGGGTTTGAACCGCTGACCTTTTGGTTCAAACTGACCTTGCAGTTCAGTGTATTATCCTGCAGTGCCACATCTGGACTCCAAATTGGTAGATAACACTGCTAACACAAGGGAATGATTTTTCAATAAAGTTCTAGGAAGGTTACTTGACACATTTATGATTTTCAGAGATATTTGACTAGAAAAAGAGTCCTTAGAAATCATTTTTTAGAGTGTTCCTGTCATAGTGATGCCAACCATTACAACCTCCATTAGGCAGAGAATACCTTAGGTTTCATTAGAATAAAGTCTTAGATATATCCGCTGTTAGATGAGCTGTGTCTTTTATTACCACTTGAATTTCTGTTTTAATAAGTAGTTAACTTCCAATCTTATCAGTTTATTGGAGAATGTTATTGTTGTTGTTTGCTGCCATCAAGTCAGTTCTGACTCATAGCAACCCTGTATAGGGTTTCTAAGGAGTGGCTGGTGGGTTTGAACCACCAATTTTTTGGTTTGCATTCCAGTGCTGCATCTACAGTGCCAGGATGTTGCTGTTAAGTGCCCTTGAGTCAGTTCTGACCCATAGAGACCCTTTATAGGGTTTCTGAGGAGAAACTGGTGAGCTTGAACCTTGAGGTTCAAACAAACTTTGCAGCCCAGTGCATCAACCCACAATGCCACACCAGGACTTCCCATCCCTATATCTATACCAAGATATAGATATAATCATTGCTGAAGGTGTTTCAGTTTCATGATCTTCATTCAGAGTCATTTCATCTTTAGAAGCAGTGAAGGGAGACACGAATATTTACATTTTGAAATTGGTTACCTTAACATTCACATTTTTGTCCCTTTCTCCTTGAATGATCCAAATATTGGATGCATTTGGTATTTACTAAATTATAATTGAAGAATATAGTGGCCTGTGGGGTCATTAATTCTTTCTATTCAAAAGAAATAGAATTCACAGCAGGCCAGTTATGTCCCTCATATGTGCTTTGTTGTTTCTAGACCCTCAGGGATATCATTTAAAGTGGTTGCATCTATCAATGAGGAATATCAGTTCTAATGAAAGTATTTGCTTCAACCTCCTTGCTAGCTTTGGTACAATAGAAACTTCTTGAAACTTGAGTAATACTTTTCCTATGTCAACAATGGATTTATGAGTAACATTTGTTCCTTTCAAAGCTTGAAATTTAGTATTTTCTGCTCTAGGATTGCCTGCATTAAATCCTATCTTAGAATTTCCATTCACCAGGGAAATAATCTCCAAGTAAGATGAATATTTCTAATCAGTAGAAGAATTAAAAATTATATCTATGGACAAGTTTGAGTCTCCAGGGATGGAGCTG